TCAAACTTTTTTATAGTAGGGGTAATGGGGCGATATCTAAGGGCCTGAACAAAAGCCTTATTTGGGAAGTAAGGCTTTGCAGAGACTTTTGCTGAAAGTGATTTCGTACCCCCATTGTATATACTACCCTACTTCATACAGCAGCAATATGGGAATCTACAGAGTGTGTTGATGTGTTACTGAAGGCTGGAGCTGATGTTAATGTACAGAGTAATACAGGTGACACACAACTTCATACAGCAGCAGCAGTATGGGGATCTACAGAGTGTGTTGATGTGTTACTGAAGGCTGGAGCTGATGTTAATGTACAGAATAATACAGGTAACACACCACTTCATACAGCAGGAGCAGCAGGACGGGGATCTACAGAGTGTGTTGATGTGTTACTGAAGGCTGGAGCTAATGTTAATATACAGAATAATACAGGTGACACACCACTTCATACAGCAGCAGCAATATGGGGATCTACAGAGTGTGTTGATGTGTTACTGAAGGCTGGAGCTGATGTTAATGTACAGAATAATACAGGTGACACACCACTTCATATAGCAGCATTAGTGGAGGGATCTACAGAGTGTGTTGATGTGTTACTGAAGGCTGGAGCTGATGTTAATGTACAGAAAAATACAGGTAACACACCACTTCATACAGCAGGAGCAGCAGGACGGGGATCTACAGAGTGTGTTGATGTGTTACTGAAGGCTGGAGCTAATGTTAATATACAGAATAATACATGTGACACACAACTTCATACAGCAGCAGCAATATGGGGATCTACAGAGTGTGTTGATGTGTTACTGAAGGCTGGAGGTGATGTTAATGTACAGAGTAATACAGGTGACACACAACGTCATACAGCAGCAGCAATACGGGAATCTACAGAGTGTGTTGATGTGTTACTGAAGGCTGAAGCTGATGTTAATGTACAGAATAATACAGGTGACACACTACTTCATACAGCAGCAATATGGGAATCTACAGAGTGTGTTGATGTGTTACTGAAGGCTGGAGCTGATGTTAATGTACAGAATAATACAGGTAACACACCACTTCACATAGTAACAGGTTGGGGATGTGCAGACTGTGTTGATGTGTTACTGAAGGCTGGAGCTGATGTTAATGTACAGAGTAATACAGGTGACACACAACTTCATACAGCAGCAGCAATATGGGAATCTACAGAGTGTGTTGATGTGTTACTGAAGGCTGGAGCTGATGTTAATGTACAGAGTAATACAGGTGACACACAACTTCATACAGCAGCAGCAATATGGGGATCTACAGAGTGTGTTGATGTGTTACTGAAGGATGGAGCTGATGTTAATGTACAGAAAAATACAGGTAACACACAACTTCATACAGCAGGAGCAGCAGGACGGGGATCTACAGAGTGTGTGTTACTGAAAGCTGGAGCTGATGTTAATGGTACAGAATAATACAGGTGACACACCACTTCATATAGCAGCAGGACGGGGATCTTCAGAGTGTGTTGATGTGTTACTGAAGGCTGGAGCTGATGTTAATGTACAGAATAATACACTGACTGACTGACTGACTGAGTTTGGTTTTGCGACGCTTTTAGCAATATTCCAGCAACATCACGGCGGGGGACACCAGAAATGGGCTTCACACATCGTGTCCATGTGGGGATTCGATCCCGGGTCTTCGGCGTGACGAGCCAAACAGAATAATACAGGTGACACGCCACTTCATATAGCAGCAGCAGTATGGGGATCTACAGAGTGTGTTGATGTGTTACTGAAGGCTGGAGCTGATGTTAATGTACAGAATAATACAGGTGACACACTACTTCATACAGCAGCAATATAGGAATCTACAGAATGTGTTGATGTGTTACTGAAGGCTGGAGGTGATGTTAATGTACAGAATAATACAGGTAACACACCACTTCACATAGCAACAGGTTGGGGATGTGCAGACTGTGTTGATGTGTTACTGAAGGCTGGAGCTGATGTTAATGTACAGAGTAATACAGGTGACACACAACTTCATACAGCAGGAGCAGCAGGACGGGGATCTACAGAGTGTGTTGATGTGTTACTGAAGGCTGGAGCTGATGTTAATGTACAGAAAAATACAGGTGACACACCACTTCATATAGCAGCATTAGTAAGGGGATCTACAGAGTGTGTTGATGTGTTACTGAAGGCTGGAGGTGATGTTAATGTACAGAAAAATACAGGTAACACACCACTTCATACAGCAGGAGCAGCAGGACGGGGATCTACAGAGTGTGTTGATGTGTTACTGAAGGCTGGAGCTAATGTTAATGTACAAAATAATACAGGTGACACACAACTTCATACAGCAGCAGCAATATGGGGATCTACAGAGTGTGTTGATGTGTTACTGAAGGCTAGAGGTGATGTTAATGTACAGAGTAATACAGGTGACACACAACGTCATACAGCAGCAGCAATACGGCAATCTACTGAGTGTGTTGATGTGTTACTGAAGGCTGAAGCTGATGTTAATGTACAGAAAAATACAGGTGACACACCACTTCATATAGCAGCATTAGTAAGGGGATCTACAGAGTGTGTTGATGTGTTACTGAAGGCTGGAGCTGATGTTAATGTACAGAATAATACAGGTGACACACTACTTCATACAGCAGCAATATAGGAATCTACAGAATGTGTTGATGTGTTACTGAAGGCTGGAGCTGATGTTAATGTACAGAATAATACAGGTAACACACCACTTCATACAGCATAGCAACAGGTTGGGGATGTGCAGACTGTGTTGATGTGTTACTGAAGGCTGGAGCTGATGTTAATGTACAGAGTAATACAGGTGACACACAACTTCATACAGCAGGAGCAGCAGGACGGGGATCTACAGAGTGTGTTGATGTGTTACTGAAGGCTGGAGGTAATGTTAATATACAGAATAATACAGGTGACACACTACTTCATAGAGCAGCAATATGGGGATCTACAGAGTGTGTTGATGTGTTACTGAAGGCTGGAGCTGATGTTAATGTACAGAATAATACACTGACTGACTGAGTTTGGTTTTGCGACGCTTTTAGCAATATTCCAGCAACATCACGGTGGGGGACACCAGAAATGGGCTTCACACATTGTGTCCATGTAGGGATTTGATCCCGGGTCTTCGGCGTGACGAGCCAAACAGAATAATACAGGTGACACGCCACTTCATATAGCAGCAGCAGTATGGGGATCTACAGAGTGTGTTGATGTGTTACTGAAGGCTGGAGCTGATGTTAGTGTACAGAATAATACAGGTGACACACCACTTCATATAGCAGCAGTAGTGAGATCTACTGAGTGTGTTGATGTGTTACTGAAGGCTGGAGGTGATGTTAATGTACAGAAAAATACAGGTGACACACAACTTCATACAGCAGCAGCAATATGGGGATCTACAGAGTGTGTTGTCGTGTTACTGAAGGCTGGAGCTGATGTTAATGTATAGAATAATACAGGTGACACACCACTTCATACAGCAGCAATATGGGAATCTACTGAGTCTGTTGATGTGTTACTGAAGGCTGGAGCTGATGTTAATGTACAGAATAATACAGGTGACACACTACTTCATACAGCAGCAGCAATATGGGAATCTACAGAGTGTGTTGATGTGTTACTGAAGGCTGGAGCTGATGTTAATGTACAGAATAATACAGGTGACACACTACTTCATAGAGCAGCAATATGGGAATCTACTGAGTGTGTTGATGTGTTACTGAAGGCTGGAGCTGATGTTAATGTACAGAATAATACACTGACTGACTGAGTGAGTTTGGTTTTGCGACGCTTTTAGCAATATTCCAGCAACATCACGGCGGGGGACACCAGAAAAATGGGCTTCACACATTGTGTCCATGTGGGGATTCGATCCCGGGTCTTCGGCGTGACGAGCCAAACAGAATAATACAGGTGACACGCCACTTCATACAGCAGCAGCAGTATGGGGATCTACAGAGTGTGTTGATGTGTTACTGAAGGCTGGAGCTGATGTTAGTGTACAGAATAATACAGGTGACACACCACTTCATACAGCAGCAGTAGTGAGATCTACTGAGTGTGTTGATGTGTTACTGAAGGCTGGAGCTGATGTTAATGTACAGAATAATACAGGTGACACACCACTTACATATAGCAGCAGCAGGATGGGGATCTACAGAGTGTGTTGATGTGTTACTGAAGGCTGGAGCTAATGTTAATATACAGAATAATACAGGTGACACACCACTTCATACAGCAGCAGCAATATGGGGATCTACAGAGTGTGTTGATGTGTTACTGAAGGCTGGAGCTGATGTTAATGTACAGAGTAATACAGGTGACACACAACTTCATACAGCAGCAGCAATACGGGAATCTACAGAGTGTGTTGATGTGTTACTGAAGGCTGGAGCTGATGTTAATGTACAGAATAATACAGGTGACACACTACTTCATAGAGCAGCAATATGGGAATCTACAGAGTGTGTTGATGTGTTACTGAAGGCTGGAGCTGATGTTAATGTACAGAATAATACAGGTAACACACCACTTCATATAGCAACAGTAGGGATCTACAGACTGTGTTGATGTGTTACTGAAGGCTGGAGGTGATGTTAATGTACAGAGTAATACAGGTGACACAATGTACAACTTCATACAGCAGCAGCAATATGGGGATCTACAGAGTGTGTTGATGTGTTACTGAAGGCTGGAGCTGATGTTAATGTACAGAATAATACAGGTGACACACTACTTCATAGCAGCAGCAATATGGGGAATCTACAGAGTGTGTTGATGTGTTACTGAAGGCTGGAGCTGATGTTAATGTACAGAATAATACAGGTGACACACAACTTCATACAGCAGCAGCAATATGGGGATCTACAGAGTGTGTTGATGTGTTACTGAAGGCTGGAGCTGATGTTAATGTACAGAATAATACAGGTGACACACCACTTCACATACAGCAGCAACAATATTGAAATCTACAGAGTGTGTTATGGGGTTACTGAAGGCTGGAGCTGATGTTAATGTACAGAATAATACAGGTAACACACCACTTCATATAGCAGCAACAGGACGGGGATCTACAGAGTGTGTTGATGTGTTACTGAAGGCTGGAGCTGATGTTAATGTACAGAATAATACAGGTGACACACCACTTCATACAGCAGGAGCAGCAGGACGAGGATCTACTGAGTGTGTTGATGTGTTACTGAAGGCTGGAGCTGATGTTAATGTACAGAATAATACAGGTGACACACAACTTCATACAGCAGCAGCAATATGGAATCTACAGAGTGTGTTGATGTGTTACTGAAGGCTGGAGCTGATGTTAATGTACAGAATAATACAGGTAACACACTACTTCATAGAGCAGCAATATGGGAATCTACTGAGTGTGTTGATGTGTTACTGAAGGCTGGAGCTGATGTTAATGTACAGAATAATACACTGATTGACTGACTGAGTTTGGTTTTGCGACGCTTTTAGCAATATTCCAGCAACATCACGGCGGGGGACACCAGAAAAATGGGCTTCACACATTGTGCCCATGTGGGGATTCGATCCCGGCTCTTCGGCGTGACGAGCCAAACAGAATAATACAGGTGACACGCCACTTCATACAGCAGCAGCAATATGGGGATCTACAGAGTGTGTTGATGTGTTACTGAAGGCTGGAGCTGATGTTAATGTACAGAATAATACAGGTGACACACTACTTCATAGAGCAGCAATATGGGAATCTACTGAGTGTGTTGATGTGTTACTGAAGGCTGGAGCTGATGTTAATGTACAGAATAATACAGGTAACACACCGCTTTTAGCAATATTTTAGCAACAGGCGGGGGATGGGCTTCACACATTGTGCCCATGTGGGCTGGAGCTGATGTTATTTGATGTGTTACTGAAGGCTGAGCTAATGTTGATATAAACAGAATAATACAGGTGACACACAACTTCATACAGCAGCAGCAATATGGGGATCTACAGAGTGTTTTGATGTGTTACTGAAGGCAGGAGCTGATGTTAATGTACAGAATAATACAGGTGACACACTACTTCATACAGCAGCAGCAATATGGGAATCTACAGAGTGTGTTGATGTGTTACTGAAGGCTGGAGCTGATGTTAATGTACAGAATAATACAGGTGACACACTACTTCATACAGCAGCAATATAGGAATCTACAGAGTGTGTTGATGTGTTACTGAAGGCTGGAGCTGATGTTAATGTACAGAATAATACAGGTAACACACCACTTCACATAGCAACAGGTTTGGGATGTGCAGACTGTGTTGATGTGTTACTGAAGGCTGGAGCTGATGTTAATGTACAGAGTAATACAGGTGACACACAACTTCATACAGCAGCAGCAATATGGGGATCTACAGAGTGTGTTGATGTGTTACTGAAGGCTGGAGCTGATGTTAATGTACAGAATAATACAGGTGACACACTACTTCATACAGCAGCAATATGGGAATCTACAGAGTGTGTTGATGTGTTACTGAAGGCTGGAGCTGATGTTAATGTACAGAGTAATACAGGTGACACACAACTTCATACAGCAGCAGCAATATGGGGATCTACAGAGTGTGTTGATGTGTTACTGAAGGCTGGAGCTGATGTTAATGTACAGAATAATACAGGTGACACACTACGTCATATAGCAGCAGCAATATGGGAATCTACAGAATCTGTTGATGTGTTACTGAAGGCTGGAGCTGATGTTAATGGTACAGAATAATACAGGTGACACACCACTTCATAGAGCAGCAATATGGGGATCTACAGAGTGTTTTGATGTGTTACTGAAGGCTGGAGCTGATGTTAATGTACAGAATAATACAGGTGACACACCACTTCATACAGCAGCAGTAGTGAGATCTACTGAGTGTGTTGATGTGTTACTGAAGGCTGGAGCTGATGTTAATGTACAGAATAATACAGGTGACACACCACTTCATAGCAGCAGCAGCAATATGGGGATCTGTTACAGAGGCTGTTGATGTGTTACTGACAGGTGACACACTGGAGCTGATGTTAATGTACAGAATAATACAGGTAACACACCACTTCATATAGCAACAGGTTTGGGATGTGCAGACTGTGTTGATGTGTTACTGAAGGCTGGAGCTGATGTTAATGTACAGAGTAATACAGGTGACACACAACTTCATACAGCAGCAGCAATATGGGGATCTACAGAGTGTGTTGGTGTGTTACTGAAGGCTGGAGCTGATGTTAATGTACAGAATAATACAGGTGACACACTACTTCATATAGCAGCAGCAATATGGGAATCTACAGAGTGTGTTGATGTGTTACTGAAGGCTGGAGCTGATGTTAATGGTACAGAATAATACAGGTGACACACCACTTCATACAGCAGCAATATTGGAATCTACAGAGTGTGTTGATGTGTTACTGAAGGCTGGAGCTGATGTTAATGTACAGAATAATACAGGTAACACACCACTTCACATAGCAACAGGATTGGGATGTGCAGACTGTGTTGATGTGTTACTGAAGGCTGGAGCTGATGTTAATGTACAGAGTAATACAGGTGACACACAACTTCATACAGCAGCAGCAATATGGGGATCTACAGAGTGTGTTGATGTGTTACTGAAGGCTGGAGCTGATGTTAATGTACAGAATAATACAGGTGACACACCACTTCATAGCAGCAGCAATATGGGAATCTACAGAGTGTGTTGATGTGTTACTGAAGGCTGGAGCTGATGTTAATGGTACAGAATAATACAGGTGACACACCACTTCATATAGCAGCAGCATATGGGGATCTACAGAGTGTGTTGATGTGTTACTGAAGGCTGGAGCTGATGTTAATGTACAGAATAATACAGGTGACACACCACTTCATACAGCAGCAGCAGCAATACGGGATCTACAGAGTGTGTTGATGTGTTACTGAAGGCTGGAGCTGATGTTAATGTACAGAATAATACAGGTGACACACCACTTCATACAGCAGCAGCAATATGGGGATCTACAGAGTGTGTTGATGTGTTACTGAAGGCTGGAGCTGATGTTAATGTACAGAATAATACAGGTGACACACTACTTCATATAGCAGCAGCAGGATATGGAATCTACAGAGTGTGTTGATGTGTTACTGAAGGCTGGAGCTGATGTTAATGTACAGAGTAATACAGGTGACACAACAACTTCATACAGCAGCAGCAATATGGGGATCTACAGAGTGTGTTGATGTGTTACTGAAGGCTGGAGCTGATGTTAATGTACAGAATAATACAGGTGACACACCACTTCATACAGCAGCAATATGGGAATCTACTGAGTGTGTTGATGTGTTACTGAAGGCTGGAGCTGATGTTAATGTACAGAATAATACACTGATGACTGACAGCTTTTAGCAATATTCCAGCAACATCACGGCGGGGAGGTGGGCACACATTGTGCCCATGTGTTACTCGATCCCGGGTCTTCGGCGTGACGAGCCAAACAGAATAATACAGGTGACACGCCACTTCATACAGCAGCAGCAATATGCGGATCTACAGAGTGTTTTGATGTGTTACTGAAGGCTGGAGCTGATGTTAATGTACAGAATAATACAGGTGACACACCACTTCATACAGCAGCAATATGGGAATCTACTGAGTGTGTTGATGTGTTACTGAAGGCTGGAGCTGATGTTAATGTACAGAATAATACAGGTGACACACAACTTCATACAGCAGCAGCAATATGGGGATCTACAGAGTGTGTTGATGTGTTACTGAAGGCTGGAGCTGATGTTAATGTACAGAATAATACAGGTAACACACCACCACTTCATACAGCAGCAGCAATATGGGGATCTACAGAGTGTGTTGATGTGTTACTGAAGGCTGGAGCTGATGTTAATGTACAGAGTAATACAGGTGACACACAACTTCATACAGCAGCAGCAATATGGGGATCTACAGAGTGTGTTGGTGTGTTACTGAAGGCTGGAGCTGATGTTAATGTACAGAATAATACAGGTGACACACTACTTCATATAGCAGCAGCAATATGGGAATCTACAGAGTGTGTTGATGTGTTACTGAAGGCTGGAGCTGATGTTAATGTACAGAATAATACAGGTGACACAGTTACTTCATAATAGCAGCAATAGGGCACACTGACTTCCATAGAGCAGCAACATGGGAATCTACTGAGTGTGTTGATGTGTTACTGAAGGCTGGAGCTGATGTTAATGTACAGAGAAATACAGGTGACACACAACTTCATACAGCAGCAGCAATATGGGGATCTACAGAGTGTGTTGATGTGTTACTGAAGGCTGGAGCTGATGTTAATGTACAGAATAATACAGGTGACACACTACTTCATAGAGCAGCAATATGGGAATCTACTGAGTGTGTTGATGTGTTACTGAAGGCTGGAGCTGATGTTAATGTACAGAATAATACACTGACTGACTGAGTGAGTTTGGTTTTGCGACGCTTTTAGCAATATTCCAGCAACATCACGGCGGGGGACACCAGAAAAATGGGGTTCACACATTGTGCCCATGTGGGGATTCGATCCCGGGTCTTCGGCGTGACGAGCCAAACAGAATAATACAGGTGACACGCCACTTCATACAGCAGCAGCAATATGCGGATCTACAGAGTGTTTTGATGTGTTACTGAAGGCTGGAGCTGATGTTAATGTACAGAATAATACAGGTGACACACCACTTCATACAGCAGCAATATGGGAATCTACTGAGTGTGTTGATGTGTTACTGAAGGCTGGAGCTGATGTTAATGTACAGAATAATACAGGTGACACACTACTTCATACAGCAGCAATATGGGAATCTACAGAGTGTGTTGATGTGTTACTGAAGGCTGGAGGTGATGTTAATGTACAGAATAATACAGGTGACACACCACTTCATACAGCAGCAATATGGGGATCTACAGAGTGTGTTGATGTGTTACTGAAGGCTGGAGCTGATGTTAATGTACAGAATAATACAGGTAACACACCACTTCACATAGCAACAGGTTTGGGATGTGCAGACTGTGTTGATGTGTTACTGAAGGCTGGAGCTGATGTCAATGTACAGAGTAAT